GCGGACAACTGATTACTTGTCAAAACATTTATGTCCAACCAGAAACATTAATTTCGTTTAGAGCGGCTGTTTGCTTTCGGAAGTTGTTTACTGCGTTAAAACAAACACGACGGGCATGTGGGTTGGTGAATGGACCAAGCGAAGTTGACGTGTGGGCTGGTGAGGTCATACTTGTTCTCTTGCGTAAGGCCGTGAGATGCATGTAAATTTTATCCAAGTGGTTCGATTTGCCTGATACCGTGGAATTTGAGTCCTGGACAAACATCCCACGGTTGTTTGAAGACAAGTGAACAAAGGAACTTGCTCGCCATTTCGTAGCTGTAATTATCCATATGGATCACAGCTTGTGTAATGCCTTGTCATATCTAATTGAAACCCATTTTATGATGAAATTGGGTAAATCCTGCTCGTACCCCAGTTAAGACTGACGTAACGGCCACTCAGCGATATCAACATCAAACACAGAAGCAGTGTCAAGAGGCACGTCAGAAACACGTCAGATTATTGACAAAGGTTTGAATTCAACGCTCAGCTACTGACCCACAACAGGGTTTCGAACTCCGATCCCAACTCAAGTGTCAGTAGGCCAGACCACTACTTCAAAGTTTTTGGTGGAACTGGTAGCAATGACTGATTCCTGATGTACAGCAGTCATTCCTCCAAGTATTTTCCGGTGAAATCCCATCCTGCAGATATCGCCTACTCGAGCTTGAAATGGGTGCAAACCTTCTAACTGGAACGTCCATGGTTCGAATCCAGCCCCAGCTGCTCCTGTCTATGCCTGGATATCCTGGCGTATCACAGCCCTCGTGCTTCCGTCGACGAGCATGTCAACGAAGCACCAAATGGGTGTTACAGATGAACGGTCAGAGCTCGAATTTGCTGACCGATAGGTTCGTGGTTCGAACCCGACCTCCGCGTCTCGACTTCCCCTGTCTAGGCTTGAGCGAAGTGGCAGTATCCCAGCCATCGTGCAACCTTCGGGTAGCATGTCAGTTAAGCACAGAAAGGGTGCTACAGCTGGACGGTCTATAGCTTTACTTGAGTGCTCAGATAAAGTTCTGAAGAGTCGGTCAACTTACATTTGTAGAACAATTGTCGCCAGTGTTTAACTATATAATCACGAGGACATGACTGGTTGATAGCCTCTAAATTGATTCACTTCAGAGTACCGGGTTCATTACACCACATGCCTTCGATTCAGCACAGATTCCATGCATATCACTGTTACGGAAAGACCAGAAATATATAGCCTGTATGAAACAACACTGAGGTCATCCGTTTTCCCCAAGAACAACTTAACTTAAGAGGCCCTGATTCCGAGTACATCTCATATGGGACAGTCCACCCCCAAGCGCGATTTTCGATCGATACAGCGTTACTCATGAAGCGAACTCTTGAATGGTCCACTGACGAGTTCAATCATCGCACGGTTCCGAATTTCCGAGGTGCGAGGGAACTACTTGGATACCTTGAATTTCACCCCAGATTTGACATGAGGCGGAACACAACAAAGCTGAAAAATAGCATGAACGAGAGGTCCGGTTAGCAACATTAACACCTAACGAGGGACATTTTGAAAACTAGTGTTTAATTTTGAATTGCACTGAACTGAACTCAACTCAATTCAGAAAAAACGTTCTTGGGTATTGTCTGTTGGCAGAATACCAACGGTTTATTAATCCAATCGGTTATCAATACCGTGAACGCATTCGATTCGATCCATGCTCGCACTCAACCGGTGGTGTTTGAAGGTTATACATTACACAGTATAGGTGTAGGTCACATCCACAGATGACATACCCTTTTCGAATGAACGAAACAACACTGAATAAGAGTAGGACACGTGCGGATCACTTCTGTCTGAAGTCAAGAGGAAAACAGTGGCCAACCGGAACGCCGACGTATCATCGCCGGATCGATCCGGTCGAAGATGCTTGTGAACCACTTTTCTAGCCTATCTCTTACGAAACGGGACCAAGAGACCTAAAAGGCACGATGAAAACTGCCTACAAAAGCGATAAATTTACCACGGAGGAGCTGCAAAACCACATACTAAGTACCTCAAAGTTTAGGAGATTTCTCAGTGTGAAAGTAAACGTCAGGCTTGCACAACAAAATTCTACGTGAGACATGACTTCAACGCATTGGCAGTGTAGATTTAAGGGGCAGATGTTTCAAATCGTGTGGAACCACGAATACGGGGGGGGGGGGGATGNACGAATACGGGGTGTGATGTTCTGTGCCCAGAAAAATTTCGACCCCGATTGTTCAGATATTCCGCCCGACTACCGACACAGCTTGGAAAAGTTAGTAATTCCCACCGGTCGTGGCCAAAATGGTGTCCAGGACTCGATACAAACTGGTCATATTTAGCAGAGAAATGACGCCCAAATGCTGCATAGGAACTCGCGACGATCATCTTGATTGATTGATTCTCAACAGGCATGTCATTACGACTTCGCTTCCGTTCACACTGCCCCGTTAACATCACGGTTTTCATCACCATTGAAAGCATGAAATCAGTGCCCAACGCCAGTGCTTCGAATCCAGGCGACTACAATTTATATGAAAGATTGATTGATTGACGAAAAATATGAAAGCGGATGGTAACGTCGAACTATTGGACTGGATATAAATCCTGTCGAGAATATTTGGGGTATGATGGTAAAGAATGCGTACAACGGTAAAAGGACGATCCACACCGCTGGTGGATAAAAGGTGCACCAAAATGGGGTGCACATTACAAACAACGGTAAGTGATCGGTGGAATTGGTCTTAATAGCTACTCGCACCCTCCTGATCGGTGAAAAAAAGTTTCGGAATTCTTGTATGAAACTCAAATTGTACATTATGTTCCGAGCGGAACCAACCGCCTAGGGTGATGCGTGTCCAACAGTTGAATGTCATGGTTGAAGATGTCCAGGGAAAAAACACAACAAGCAGGTAGTTGAACAATTTTCCATGAAACTATACCAAAAATTTAACCGATTTCGTTTATCCCCCGGACGGTGATAACATTTGAAATACCAGAACCACATCACCGCCTTGTTTAATCACAAAAACATTCTCACAGGCGTGGGGAAATTGAAGATACGCGAACAAATTGTGCTCTTGCTGGACAGGTTTTTGATATGTAACGGAATCGGGTACAGTGAACGGATATACGCGACCTGAGAACGAGCAACAACTCCCCCAGCTATGACGCGAGCCCAACCACTCCTAGTGCAGACAGAGAAGAAGACCAGACCCTCAGAAGGGGGCTTTTACTGCCTCAACCATAGGCGAATTACAGTGGGAGCAACGTCGTATATATATATTTCGAGCGACCTTGGGAAGCGAAGAGTCAGTTAATGCACACAAAGTATAGCTGGCCAATAGGAAAAGAGCGCGGTCTTTACGGATTGAGGTGCAACATGGCGGAAAAGGCGCGATATTTAAAAATTCAAAAATTTTTGAAAATAAATTGGCAATAACTCGGAAAATAAGTAGTTTTTGGGGATACTGACATCCTCAACAGTTTTCGACGACGAATGAGGTCTACCCGAGAGCACCCAGTTCTACACAACTTAGCCAGATCTGCCAAGCATGGCTCTAACTGAATGTATTCCAAAATTAACACACAGAAAAGTAAAAGTCAATACCGCGAGAATTCCATTCTGTACTGAATAGGCTAACATCCAAGTAAAACTATGTCGCAACCAGCCTGACGTCAAGCTACAGAACAAGGCACACTTGACTCTAGATTTCCGCGGGTCTCTCGGGTTAATTGCAGCTTTCGTCTTTTTTCTGTACATCACCCCATCAGAACTGGAATTCAGCTTATTCTACGCAGGTTTTTCTCGGAGGGAAGCCAATAGGATCGATCTGGCGGCGCTGTAACTTGAAAGTTGCCGTTGTCCTCATGGAGTCGCACTCCGTGACCCCAATCTGACTGAGAACTCACGTCACTACTAGAAACTCTCATGTCATTGTTCCATGGATCCGTACTTCGATGGCTAGCTCGCCACTGTACTGAATCAATACAATATCCTATCTGTGAAAGACAAGTCCGAATCTACCTACTACATCTTCTTCGAAAGGAGACCGAGTCTCCGGTGTCCACGGAAGCACCCCCCGACGAGCAGCTTCCGCCTAATGCAGGAAAGGATTATCCCATGTGGTCACATCTTTTGACCGCAGCTAGACGGGAACTCATTCCATTTCATTCATAATCGTCCAATCAAAACTACAAAGCAAGGCGGAACAGTACGGCCAGCGAGGATCCATGCGTAGTGAGCTGAGGAGCGAAAGCAAGTGAACTAGCCTAGTACACCTACTTTGCAGTTGGGCTATTCTGGGTTGGATGAACAGAAAGTCCCTTCAGTTGCTCTGGTGAAAATCCCCACGGTGGGAGCTTGACAGCGACCACCGTTTGGTTAAATATACAAACTGCATGTCGCATTCAATTCACTTGGTGCAGAACGTATTTATCACCGGATTCTGGTGTAGCATATGCTTAAATAGGAGCGCTAAGCCCCAGGATTGCCAATACTTTGCACTTGAGTTGCCCGGGACCTCAAACGACAGCTGTGGAGCGTAATCGCGCGAGGGTAGACTGGGGAGGGGTCGCCTTGCGGAGTCAGTCTCGTTTAGCTGCAACTGGGATTTGGTTCGTTTATGTCATTTTGGAAAGTCACATCTATCTACTTTACATCTCCGGTGATACATTCGCAGCTCGTCCGGCCACTGATGCTAAATCGTCCATTTACATACTCACAGTATGGATGAAGCATCCAACCGGGATTAGAACACCAGAAGACCTTAGAAGAGTTTTTACATTCTTGTTACAGGGAACGTCCCACCCATTGAGTTGAGAGATTCACCATTTGGGTAAAAAGCATACGATCTAGAGAGACAAGTGCGGACTGAACGTTGAGGCTTCTTTAGTCAAAACTCCGGCCGATACCCTCAGTGGACAGTCTAAGGGGGGTTCTGATTGCTTCGATTTCATATTGAACCGAGCTATTAAGCAATGAAGAACAAGCAAAAGTTAAATACAGGTTCTTATTCTCTTTCAAACAGAGATGGTACAGCACACAACCGATAGCAGAGGTTAGTGATTAATCTGAGAGACAATTCGCAGACACTAAAAACACATCAACGGAAAGACAGGCGAGTATCATCGGTTTTCTGACGCAGCAAGTTTCGCCAGTTCCTTGTTCACCGACTTGGCAAGGAACTGTTTGTAGGAGAAAATGTCTCCCTCCCATGGGGTGATCGACTGGTTTTCACAGACCCAAATTTCCTTGGCCACCTAGCAAGCAGAGAACGTCCAGAGACGTCAGTAAAGAAAAATAAACATTTTCTTCATGCTACTGGAATTTAAAAAGTAGTTTATAGAAAATGTATTTCTGTCTAACGCAGATACGACCTCTTCGGAATACCAGGCCACAAATTGAATTGAAGAATACTCGGTTTCTAAAAGGCTAAGTGGTCCGTATATGTACAGAAAGGCGGACCGAGGAATGAACTAGACGTTCCATGATGCTGAGGCAAATTTTCCACTGCAATTAGATTCAAAGATTGAGACTACCAGTGGTGAGTCGACCAATGATAAGTGAAGTTTCATCATGATTGGTTGTTGGTCTGTTTACCGAGATTGGCAGTTGAATTGCCAACGTTTTATCACCAATTGAGGTGACATCGTCAGTGCGGGGGTGAGGCGACTTTCCGTGCAAAATTCAGCAAAGTGAGTGGACGTCTGACTTGAGACAGAGAACAAAAGAAACGCCTAGATGCTTTTGATTCGATTGTTCTTGCAAGTCAGACAGCTACCCACGTTTCCGGTGGAACACACGCGAAGATATGACCAGGCATCACATTAGCTCTGGAGGTGTATACACAAATTTTCTCACCTGAGAAATTAGTCGGAAGTCATGGGAGACCAAAAGTAAACCGCCTTCAAAGTCATCAATAGCATCGGCCAATGAGTCGATGGTTTCGATATCCAAGTGGTTTGTCGGTTCATCCAGTAGCAGCAAATGTGGGGCTTTTTGTGCAAGCCAAGCAAATATTATGCGGCATCTTTGTCCGTCAGATAAGGCACGAATGGGGCAAACCTGTGAGGTGAAAAAAGGTTTATCATTCCCATGTTATTGTATTACATGAGCTATTGCAAACTGTCGTCTTCGATAAAGTATCGATTGGTAAACACAGTTATAAATGGAATACACTATTGAAATATTTCTATGAAAACAGGTTAGTTAGTAGTATTTAAGTCACTCAACCGTAATAAACTAAGAACCGTGGTTGGTTGGCCAGGGTAGGATGATAATGATGGCCGATGTAGTCGAATAGCGATCAATTTTGCTGCTTCAGGTGTATTTTGTCGAGCGATTGATGGCACTCGATATATCATGCTTAATAACAGTCGGATTGATCCAAACATTTGTATCGATCGAGTGAGGTGCAGTCGCACCAGTCACGTGCTTCGTTTTTCCAGTTCTGTTGCGTGATAGCGTGAGCTCAACAGTTCTCCGACCGACGTAGTTTGCGGAAAAGTAGCAAAGAAAGAAATACGATGACGGAAGAGGTGCGGATTGGCACATTGCCCTGAGTAACCAATGGCTAGTAAGGCAGACCCTTAACTGAGCAGCGTTGACCACACCTTGGAATGAATTCGTTAATTATCGCTTGATTTTTCCAGAGACAGTGTCACCCCGGTGTAGTCTAATGTAGACGGTTAACTTTGCGAGTGACGTGTAAAAGGATGTTTCAAATAGTTCATTTTTTGAAAACTCTTTCAGGTATCCGTACTCCATCGGGGTTCTCGATCCGGATGTCGATTCTGTGTGTCACCTAGGCAGATCTTAGGAGCCCTAGGTGCCATACACAAGACTCCATATTCCAAAAGCTGAAAAAGTATGCCTGCCAGCTGGACAGACCACGTTGGCTTCCGGTGTGCGCGTTGCTAAACCGTTCCGTCTTGTCTTCAAATTGAAATGAGTTACTGAGCCCTTATTGCAGTACCAGATGTTCAGAATCAGCGAAATACACTCATTTGCGAGAGACTCACCTGGAACCCAGCTGAATCTCTCGTTTGTGATGTTTCCAGGTAACTGAATGCACCGCTGCACCAGGCCCTTCCGTGATTATCACTCCACAATCAAAGTGACTCTGAACACGTATATTTGTAATGCACTACTCATAAGGTTGCTGAAAATTCGCCGACAGCCCACGACCAGTTTCACCCTTCTTGGGGCTCACCAGATAGGCGCAGTCCCGAGTTTCCATCAACTTTATGTCCTGCTTGAAACCAAATTACACGAAGTTAGCAAAATACACTCACTTGCAAACTACTTTGGGCTGTCGACGAACTTTCAGCAACCTTATGAGTAGTGCATTACAAATATACGTGTTCAGAGTCACTTTGATTGTGGAGTGATAATCACGGATAACAGAAAAAAGATCATCTACATTGCGTCGCTAAAATGTTAACCGTTCGGTCAGGAATCTCAAAACACCACGTTCCATTCATTCGAAAATACCGGCAAAACGAGGGCCGGTCACTCCATCATTGCAAAAATAACTCACTTAAACCTGATGCAGGAATCGGTAAACGCATGTCCTATTGGACAGCGGTACATTGACAAAAAGAGATGAAGTGTCTAGGGAGCACATTCATCTAGCGTTGATGTTTACATTCCGGATTGAATGAACGAACTCGAACGTGTCACAAAGCCTTTGGACAGGTAATCGTTTCGTGAGGAGTTCTAGAGGCTTCTTTCTTCTTCACACAGTCACATGATACGGTGAGCCAATCACATCAACTCAAGGGAGAACCTGTACATTCGAGGAGCGGATGGTCTCAGACTTTCCAAGTGCGTATTTGAGAATTATGAAACACTATATCTCTATTTCCCAGCCAATCACGGCAACGGGAATAAGTAAGGTGCGATAATTCGAAGTCACTCGGGTTTTATGGAGGAAACACATCGAGTGAACAAAACTGGTAATTGCGTACGTACCTGAGCAAGCAGGTAGCCTGAGGTGTTGATTTCAGTGAGCACACGACTGACGATTGTCTCAGTTAGAGCAAATATGTTAAGAGTGGAGTTTCACAGTAATACCCTGAAAGAGATCGTGGGATCAATGGGTTGAGCTGTATTCAGGACAGGTTGTGCTGTCATGGGTTGTGTGCTCCCAGATTGACATTTCCAGGGTGTGGTTTGTGCCTGTAACTCACTATTCAGTAGATATCCGGTAACGCGCCCACCTGAAGCCATACCTACCCTGTCTCCGAGTTGTATTTAAACACGTTGACTAGATTCGCATCAACTTTCCTCGAATAGGCTTCGATCTACCCAAATATGGTGTAAGAAGGAACACATGCTACAACAAAAAGATCAGGGCCGGGAATTCTGTCCGTCTGATCAGCTGAGCGATTTATGACTCGTTAGGTAGCAAACATGTGACGGTCATCGTTGTCATTGGCAGTAACGCATCGATAATACATACTGGTGAAAGGAAAAAAGCCTTCGCTGCGGAGATATTTATTAGAAGATGCCAATTGAACAGTTACAGACTATTGGACAGGGAAGCGAAACTCTCATATGCATCTTGTTTACAAAAGCTGAACATCCATCTTCTACTTGAACGCGTCTTCCTGAACTTTCCTGGATATTCATTGACTGTTACTCAATTGCAAGCAAATGCTACAGAGCGACTCCACAAATTCCGTAATAGATCTCACTATTCAAGAGACGCAAATTGGATAAGAAAGAAAACATACTACTCGCATGCCCCTAATCAGTAGTATCACCGATACACTGGTGCTTCACTGCCGTAGACGGCCGTGTCGGCTGGCGTGTCTAAACCTACGCAGGAGGATGAGTAGGATCCTCATCGGAAACTGTTGACTGGAAGACAGTGGCGATTGCTGTAAGACTACTGGAGTAGTCAGAAGTTTAAGAAACGAACTATCCAACCTGCTCCAACCCGACTCAGAAGGTGAGGATACTGTTTGTCGAACCTTTATCCACCCGGTCGATATTGTACGGAGGATGCATCGTGCAGTACAGCCCAGTAGGCTACTGAGTACCCAAACCGCCGTACCCAGATACGATCCAGTCCCTTCGTGACAGACTTTTTGAATCAACCAACGAATGACAGGTGAGGTTGGATAGCGAGATGTTGTGGAAGGCAGTCGGATGGGATTTATCCAAGCGAAAGGGCGCAGGTAGACCTCTACGTATACCAAATTCTATCGTCCATTTAAATTCCAACCCGATCATATGCAACTACAGCTTCAGATCCCGTCCCTTAGGCTGACGAAAATTGGCTTGTGAGAGGAATCCCTAGTGTGCATTCGTGCCATTTTATGCTGGCCGCGGGAGAATCAATCGTCTGGTATCCACCTCCGGGAAATCGCATATTGCAACGAGCCCCGCTGCTCAATAGGACTTCAAATTGCGGTGTTCGTTCAGCTGCTCCGGACGTTCTCCAATCACGGAGCTGCAGTACGGAACAGTGCCAGGATGGCTCCCGAACTGCCATCAAGAGGCGCAAAAAATCTCGAGCAATGTCTCTTATATTTGAGCCACTAAAGTGCTCAGACCGATACACTTTCGATTCCTCTTAAAGGTAAAAATAAAGTGAACTATAGGCGAAATAAATGCCCATTTTCACCACAAATGGTCGAGAAATTATGAAAAGTATGTGCCATCATTCTATAGACGTAATACACTACTAATGAGGTTGCTGAAAACTCTTCGAAGGCCCATGACCGATTTCACCCTTCCTGGAGCTCATCAGATCATCATAAACGAGATTTGGTGTGTCTCCCGTCAGAACCAAATCGGTATGCAGATGAGTATGTATATCGCCACTTCAATATAGAGACCAACCTTTCTCCATTGAAGAAGAATCCACAAATTGATAGGATAAAGCGCTCACCTGTTGAGCTCCACTGAGACCATATCGACCGAGAATTTTTCGCATATCGTCACGTTCCTTGATTTCGGGGAAAGATTTCATCATCCAGTCAACGGCGGACAAGTTGATGTCCAACATCTCGTGTAAATGCTTTCAGGAGGGGGGAGGGAGAAATGAGGTTGTTCTCAACTGAGATTTGACCTTCAGATGACTATTGGTGAAGACAAATCGAGTTTGTAAATACAGCATTCTGAGAAACGGTTTCCTTAAAAGTATCGACATGTCTACTGCTTCAGGAGCACACAGGAGACAAGCGTTAACTTTGTTCATTAGTATGGCAGTGCCAACATTGATCACGACTTAAAACCGTTAACCTTGGTCTTAGTTTCCATTGACCCAAGAGAGCAGATCTTTGAACACCAAAGAGTTTTTAAAACAACCGGTTTTGGAGAAGAACTTATCGAGTCAACCGCAACTTCACTGTAGAGTAAAGCGAAGTGTTTTAGGGCCGAGAATGAGAGATGCTCGACTGCTCAGTGTGGCTTGGGGCGATATGGCTTAAGTGGTTAAAGCGCGAATTCACTGACTGGAAGGCCCGTGGTTCGAACCCGACCCCTGCCTCTCGACTTCCCCTGTCTAGTCTTGTGCAACCTGGCAGTATCGCAGCCCTCTTGCAACCTTCGCGTGGCATGGCAATTAAGCACCGAAAGGGTGCTACAGCTAAACAATTTCTCACAATTTCTTCAGTGTAGCTGAGTTAGCAACATTTTGAGGTAATAGCTACTATTTATCACAATTCACGATCAAAATAACGTTAAGACAATTACCAGTGGACCGACGTTCGTGGCTATGAACAGGACAGTAGAAAAGAGGGGCTTCACGATGAAATAAAAAAAAATCGTTCAGCTGTAAGACCCTTCCGGTGCCTAGCTGCCATGCTACCTGAGGGAAGCACGAGGGCTGGGATACTGCCAGGTTTCCCAAGCCTAGACAAGGAAGGTCGAGAGGCAGAGGTCGGGTTCGAACCACGAACCTTTCGGTCAGTAAATTCGCGCTCTAACCACTTGAGCCATCCCGCCCCCTTCACAATGAACATCGTGATGTGTTTACTTTCTGGCTAGGCGTAGTCCCTGCATTCTACGAATCAACTGGGCGTCGGGCGGAGCAGTATCAGAGCGATAAACAGCACAGGCTGACA